TCTATGATGGTTACACCATGCTTTTTGCCCCCAATGTGAAAGTTTAAACCTAACTGAAAAGAAATTAGAACTTAAGTGCCTTTCCTGGTGTTAGACAATGCCCTGGTCATCCTACAGACGTGGCAGAGTGACTTTATGGGGACATGAAATTCATTAAGGTGAAGTTTTTGCCTCCTAATACCACTCCTTCTCCTGCAGCCCATGGACCAGCAGGTTATTGCAAACTTCAAAAAACTGTTCACAAAAGCTCTGTTTGAAAGGTGCTTTGTAGTGACCTCAGAAACTCAACTGACTCTAAGAGAGTTTGGAGAGAGCACTTTAATATCTCAATTGTGTAAACCTTATAGGGAAGGCTTGGGAGGGAGTGACTAAGAAGACCTTGAACTCTGCTTGGAAGAAACTGTGGCCAGAATGTGTAGACAAAAGGGATTTTGAAGGGTTTGAGGCTAACCCTGAGAGGATTATGCCAGTTGAGGAATCCATTGTGGCATTGGGAAAGTCCTTGGGGTTGGAGGTTAGTGGGGAGGATGTGGAAGAGTTGGTGGGGGAGGACAATGAAGAACTAACCACTGATGAGCTGATAGATTTAACTTCAACAGCAAGAGGCCAGACCTGAGGAAACTGGTTCAGAGGGGGGGAGAGAAAAAATTGAAGAAGTTGCCTACTACAAAGATTAAGGATATCTGTGCAAAGTGGCTTGAAGTGCAAACCTTCATGGATGGGAAAAATCACCCTCACACAGCTATTGCAAAACCATGTTGGCAACCTGTAAAACTGACAATGTTGTGAAAAACTTTAGGAAGTCATGAAGGAACGAGAGGTACAGGCCACTATGGACAGATATGTGTGCGAAAGAAGTCCGTGACTCTGAAACTGGTCCTAGTGGCATTAAAAGAAGAGGGAAGTAACCCCAGAAAAGGACTCGACACCTCAAGTCTTAATGAAAGGGGATTTTCCCCCTTCTAAACACTAACACTCTCTCTCCCCTCCTCCCATCCCATCAATCATCACCAGATCTTCAATAAAAGTAAGTGTCATGTAATTGTGCATGCCTTTTTCAGTTTGTGTGTATTAAAATTAACATTTCATGTGGTGTAATTTTTTTTTTTTCATACTTTTGGGTGTCTTGCACGGATTAATTTGATTTCCATTATTTCTTATGGGGAAAATTCATTCGCATACCGATCATTTCGCATAACAATGAGCCCTCTTGCACGGATTAAAGTCGCTATGCGGGGGTCCACTGTACATGTACAAGGTATACAGGCCTAGCTGACATCAGTGACATACTGCTGTATAGAAAGCCCCATGTTATTCAGAGCATTTCGGGAAAATTAGGTTAATTTTGTTCCAGGATGCGACAGCGCAGTAAGTGTCAGGGGGCCCAAGACTGTTCGGCTGCCTCCCAGCATACATAAGAGGGATTACCAATAGACTCTTGGCTGTCTTCAAGAAGGCTCTGGACAGGCAGCTAAAGTCAGTACCTGATCAGCTGGGCTGTGGTTTGTACATCGGTTTACGTGGGGCTGACAGTAACAGCTTGGTTGGTCAGGCCCTGATCTAGCATGAGGCCTGGTCACAGACTGGGCTGCAGGGGCATTGACCCCCAAAACCCTCTCCAGGTATACTCCAGGTGACTAACATCCAGGTACCCACTTTACTTATAGATGAACATGGACAACAGGTGTCTTGTGAAAACACATCATAATATTTCCAGCCATACAGGGTTACTGACCCACAGGCCCTAGTGATCGAGCTATGGGACACCATAGTCAATTGGTATGGGTCACATCTTGGGGGACAAGACTGAAGGACCCCATTGTAAATAAGATAGACAGTTTTCAATAACACACTGACTTTCTTGGGTTATCCTGGGTGGCTAAATCTCTGGGTTAAAAACCCAAACAAATCTTATATATTTATTCTTATCAGCTTATATCCTATTGACTTAAACATTGCTGTAAACTGATTTATACTGACAAGAAAGAAATATAACAAGGAAAATATATTTGAACAAAAGCCTATGGTTGGTGTTCAATTAAGTGTCAAGTGCCTTATTAGAAGTGAACTATTGCCAGAGGAAGTTAGGTTGCACTGACTTTAAGCTGGGACTAAAACTGGAGCGAGGGAGGGAGGGAGGAAAAAGTGTGTACAGTGGAACCTCAAATATTGAACTTTCTTCAGTCCAGAAGGCTGTTCAAGTGCCTTTACCGAATGAATTTATTCCCATCAGGAATACTGTAAATTAGATTAGTCCATTTCAGACCCTCAAAAATACACTTATAAAAGCACTTATAAAAATACACTTACATAATTGGTCGTGTTGGGAGCAGTTCGATTTTTGAGGTTCCACTGTATTTAGGAGATACAGTACGTATTCACGGATTTATGGCGAAAGGAAATAAAGCAAACAAACAGGCTAGTTGGTTGGTGGTGGAAGAGGAGGAAGGTGGAGTTGGATTATGATTGAATTTTGGATTAAATTTTTTTTCATACTTTTTACAAATTTGTATTTATTTGAGATATATGCCCATTTGGTGCCTATCTGCTATGATCATAATTTTTTGGTAAAAGCAAGTAATACTGATTTTTCCCAGTTTGAATTGTATTGATTGTGATTGAATTCGTTTAATTTTCCCCAGTTGTTTTTCAACCAAATTTTGTATATTACTGTTTTCTGCATGTGGTAAACTCATTTTTTTGCTAAACTTTCATCAAGAAATGTAGAATCTGCAGTCTCAGAATGAATTATTGTGCTTTAGATGTTATATCCAGCTCACTTTCTGCACCATAGGCTGGGAATACTTTTGACAACTAAAGCAGGAGACATACATATCACTATTATTATATTAATGGAGGAGCACTAAACCCATGGGGATTATTCATCACCTAGGCAGAATGGGAGGGATTCAGACTTGATCTAAGGAAGGGGAGCACAGATCTATAGCACAGCTAGCTTTATCAGTTAGAATACTGTACAGGTCGGCCTTCACTAATCCAGCATCATTGGGACCTGTAGTGTGCCGGATTAGTGTGTTTGCCAGATTAGAGTGGTTAGGTTAGAATACACTTAATAAACCTATTAATAGAGACTCTTTCTGCCACATCTTCCTCATTTTCATCACTGCTTTCTCCTCCACTGGCTTACTGATGTGAATTTACAGCTATCTGCACAATTTCCGAGTCAATATAATGATGAAATTTGAGTCAGTATAATGATTTGAGTCAGTATAATCATTCAAATTCAAATTCGAAGTTTATTCTCTATAAGGATTACAATGCTGAGTTTACAGAATTTGGTTATTGTGTGGTTTACATGTAGTAAAGTACTAATTACAGAGGGTGCCACTAGAACACCTAGCATGGCTAGGTATTTCGGGCAGACTTAGATTAATTCTTATATTTAAAATATTACAAATTATGAGGTAAGTTGGTATTATGGCTAAGTGACTAAATACTAGTTTGTGAGTTTAGCAATGTGAATGCTTTTGTTTTGGCACAATACATAGTTTCAGTATTGGAGTATCACAGGCCAACTTATGATTAGTTAGGATTCATTATTTTAAGATTGAGATTGATATTTCTGTTTATGGTCAAATGGGTGAGTGAGTGTAAGTGTGAACCACCAGGTGGTATTCGTGTAATTAGTTGACGGGGTGTATCAGGGAGATAAGATGTTTTCTAATGGTAGTTTTGAAGGTGTTGAATGTGTCTGCAGTTTTAGAGTTTTCAGGTAGGGTGTTCCAGATTTTAGGGCCTTTGACATACATTAAATTTTTGTAAAGGTTTAGTCGGACACGGGGAATGTCATAGAGATGTTTGTGTCTGGTGTTATGCCTGTGAGTTCTGTCACAACTATCAAGAAAGTGTTTTAGGTCAAGGTTAATATTGGAATTTAAGGTCCTGTAGATGTAGATTGCACAGTAGTAAGTGTGGATGTACTGAACAGGGAGTAAGTTTAGATCTGTGAAGAGTGGGGGGGGGGGGGGGTGTTGCCAGAGATGGGATTTAGTGATTATTCTTACTGCGGCTTTTTGTTGGGTTATTATTGGCTTTAGGTGTGTTGCTGCAGTTGATCCCCAAGCAAAAATAGCATAGGTGATGTATGGATAAATAAGTGAGTGGTATAGTGTGAGAAGGGCATTTTGCGGCACGTAGTATCGTATCTTGGAGAGGATCCCCACCGTTTTGGATACTTTTTTGGTTATGTGTTGGATATGGGTGCTGAAACTGAGGTTGTTGTCGAGGTATAGGCCTAGGAATTTGCCCTCATTATGTCTGGCAATTAGAGTGTTGTCGATCTTAATGTTAATTTGCGCAAGTCCTGCTCTGCTACCAAACATAATATAGTAGGTTTTGTCAGTGTTAAGCGTAAGTTTATTGGCTGTCATCCAAGTCAATATTTTGATCAGCTCCTCGTTAACAATGGTGTTAAGGGTGGCAAGATTAGGGTGTGAGATGACATAAGTTGTGTTGGGATACGTTTGGAAGATCATTGATGTATATGAGGAAGAGCAGGGGACCAAGGACACTTCCCTGCAGAACTCCAGTATCAAGTGGCCGTGTTGTTGATGCTGTGTCTTTAATGGTGACATACTGATACCTATTAGTAAGGTAAGATTTGAAATATGCAAGCGCATGGCCTCTTATACCATAATGGTCAAGTTTGTGGAGTAGGATGCCGTGGTCTACTGTGTCAAAAGCTTTTCTTAGGTCAATAAAAATTCCTAGTGGATATTCCTTATTTTCCAATGCTGTGTAAAGCAGATCTAGCATTTTTATAATTGCATCATTAGTGCTTTTATTTTTCATGAATTTTATTTTTCATGAATTTTATTTTTCCTGAAATTTGAAAGTATGCTAGCCAAAATTAGTACCGGATTACTGATGGAATCAGATAATTGATTGCCAGATTAGTGATGGCCGACCAGTACTGATATAAAAAAGTATATATTTAACTGCCCTTATTTCACTCGCGTGATGAACTGATATCTAAACAGGTATGGTCGAGGTTTTGGAATAATTGGAGAACTCCTAGGTCAAGACCATGTATTAAACCAACCCAACAGCATTCCTGGTATCATCTTCTACTTTCTCATTATTTTCCTTGGTGAGTTAATGATTATTATTATTGTACCTTTTTTACAAGTAAGTATTAACTTAGCAATTAAGATACCAAAAATTAGGTTAATTGATATAGCACTCTTGGTACTGTATCTTTTTATTGTCTCCTTGGCTGCTAAATTTTTAATCTTCCCTAACACTGCTATATAGTTCATCTAAAATTAGCATTAATACCATTGTTACCATAATCATGGGGAATCACTAAACCTGTCAGGGACATACAGTACCTGGAAAATAGGAGGTAATCTGTGGATACAGAGCCTTTACTGGTACTAGTGCACTTATTGTAGGATGATCAGTTGTTAAAAAGAATGTTTTACATTCTTAACTCCTGCAGTGTTCACTGGAATGTATTCCTGGAGTGTATTTAGGGAATTTTAAAAACTGTAGAAAATTTTACATTGATTTATTTTAATAAACATCCTGGAAATCAACAAAGTATTGCTTGTTCATGGTTTTTAATATCCAAGAGTCATAATCTTGCCTTAGCATCCCTACCCAACAAACTTGAGATGGCAAGATCATAGAAGTCACACCTTTGAAGTCAAAATCTCCACTTATTGTGTACTATTTATCATTTAAACTGTAATAGGGTTTGCTACTATCTGAGGTTTCAGTATCCACAGCAGGTTCTTGGAACGTAGCCACCATGGATACGGGGGTCCTACTGTAATACCATTGTTGTGCACAAGTGATATAAGCCAACAGAATTATTATTTTAATAAAAAATGAAGTGCTAAACCTACAAGGGTCATACAGCATTAGCCAACATAAATAGTAGGAGTAGAGTAAAAAAAAAATCAACATTAAAATAAAAAAAATCAACATTTAAATATTTAAGACACCGTACCTCTGGTTGCTAAAATTGCCATGCTTCATGGAAGGGCTAAGAATAATTTACTCATTTAATATGTTAGAGTAAAATGCAGCTGTATATAGTAACCTTTTATTAGTAACCAATTGTTAATAATAATTTTTGTGTGGTAACTTATTCTATTTTTGTTTTGTGACTATCTGGCAAGCTAACTTTAAATGTGTTCATAATTTTTTCTTTTATCAGGGGAAATGAAGAGCCTGAAGACGGCCAAGGTGCAGCGGGCTGTCATAAGTCTTTCAAACTTGATGAGCATTTATCTGGCTTACCTTCTGTATTTTGTGCTTAAGGACTTTTGTATTGTTTGTGTCAGCACTTACACTATCAACATTCTCCTCACTGTCTTGGCATTTATGCGTGTCTCTGCTCTCCAGAGACTTAAAAATGCTAAGATCAAATAATTACAAGAAATTGGTGATATTAAAAGCTAAAATTAACATTCACTGATACAATTTAGTACCTGTTCCATTTATTATTGGTACATGTCATATCTTTATGTACCTTTCTTATGTTACATAGTGAAAAGAAATGCTAATTTTGTAGAGACTCGATTGATGTAATGTTTATTGGTTGAGAACATGGTTTATGTATTTACAGTATTGTTATTTTTTTGCAGTAATCATAATCAATAAAAAAAGAAGGTATGTTTAGTAAATGCATTCCATATAGGTTGTTACTACAGCAGCAGGCCAATCTATTTTTCTTTCTTACTTCCTGTATAGGTTACTAATATTTGGTTACACATACATGTACACGTACTAGAGCTAGGACAATACAAACATGAAATCCACAAAAGTTTACAATATCCAATACAAATAGCTATATGATGGTAAACATCAGTAGTGTAAGCCTGATATACTTAGGTTGTAATAATTTTATTAAATGTGTTGTGTTGTAATAATAGTAATACTATTATCAAATATACTCAGGAATAGGTCAGAAATGCACTTAAGCTCATTATTTAATATAGAATTTTTTTATTAAGTCTTTTTCTTCAGTCAATATATCTGTACATTAACAATATAAAAAATATCTGGTAGGTAAAATTATGGCACGTTATAAATAATTATTTACATTTCAGTTTTTTCAAAACAATGTAAACCCATTCAGTAGTTTGAGATACCTCTTCTCCTGTATAAATTACTAAATTTAAAAAGAGAAACATTCGTTTTTCTTTTTGGGCCACCCTACCTAGGTGGGATATGGCCGGTTTGTTGAAAGAAGATTTACATTAATAACTGTATGGGAAAATGAAACAGAATTCTTCCTCTCTAAGCCATGTATATCATAAGAGGTGACTAAAATGCTGGGAGCAAGGAGCTAGTAACCCCTTCTCCTGTATAAATTACTAAATTTAAAAAGAATAACTTTTTTTTTTTTTTAGGCCACCCTGCCTTGGTGGGATATGGCCAGTTTGTTGAAAAAAAATTGCATTAATATTCTTAAGAACTATAGACCATCTGCTTTGATGAGAAAATAATACAATATTGGATAGATAATGATAAACATAAGACATGCTTCTTTTTTTCTTTAACCTGGAGAATATAGAGAGAACTTTCACTGCCTGTATAAATTCAGACAAGCATCTAAAATACTGGGAATACTCGAAGTCCTTTGAACTGTACTTCTTGCAGTGTAGGCAAGAAAGATGCATTATAATTGATGCCTGGAAAATAATAGAGGAACTAGTCCCAAATCTGCAAACTGAAATGACTCCATATGAAATCAAGAGGCTCAACACATGGTGCAAAATATCCCAATGGAAAGCATGGCATGGGTGTAATGAGTGCAATACCCCTCAAGGGAGGTGCCTTGATGGGTAATGCACTCATGCTGGTAAAGAGCTCCTGATCTAAGGAATGTGACCTGTGCTCCAATTCCTTGAATTGAGTCTGAATGCCTTCCATTCCTCTAGATACTGTACGACCCCTATGGGTTTAGCACTCCCCCACGAATATAATAATAATAATACAGTAATAATATTTTATTCTGACATGATATATGTTTCCACAAAGTAATATGATAGTTGGGTGTATCTACCAAAAGCCCCTATATATACAGAGCATTTCAGGCAAACTTAAAACTAACAGCTTGGAACGTTCTGAGCAGGTCTGGAGTTCTACATTCACGGTATACTTTACCAATCCTCCTAGCTGCATGTGTTAGATTGCGTAGCTCTGGATCATTATAGTATTTACATTGTTTTTTATTGTTATTTAGTGGAGGGTCTATGTTTCCTTTTCCTGCCCACTTGATCTGTGAGGAGTCTCAATAGTGGTAATAAATCATCATTAAATTTTTGTGTGCCATTGGGCTGGTAATTCTTATACCATTGCTCCAAGTGGTTAATAAAATTATCTCTGTGTTCTTGGTTGAGAATACATTTCCTCCTGAATTTAGCTTCTTGACTGCTGGAGATGTGATCAAGATTGACAGTTGTTAGTCTTGGGAAGTGATCAGATAGAAGATCATCAACTATGACGGATTCATGCATCGTATATGATGTGTTAAATCCAAGGCACAGATCTAGTATGCCACCATATATGCGAGTAAGCTCAGTAGTGCCCACAATTCGAACATTATCATGCTCATTTAGCAATTTCACTAGTTTAGTTCCACTGGTGTTTGTTATGTCTGGCATTAAAATCTCCAAGAATGAGGGTAGGTTCACTATTGATGCGATCTGGTAAAGCATTAGGTCGAAGCTGGTTCGCTGGGGCATAGAGATTAAAAATGTTTATGGAAAAATCGCCTGCATATACTTTGACACCATGATACTGCATGTTAACTCGACTCTGCAAGGAAAGGAGTGAATGTGGCAGGTTCTTTCTGACATACATCACAGAACAGTTGGTTGACCTTAGGTTATTAGCTGCATATCCAGGCAACTTTTGTGGAGGTGCTCCATCTTTCAGTCAACATTCCTGCAAACATATGACATCAATATTCTTGGTTGCACTAATATGATGTAAGTCAGGCAACTGCTTCCTGATGGAAGCAATGTTCCATGAAAAGATTTGTAATTTATCAATTGTAGTGAGTTATTACAATCTCTTGCTCATAAGATGGTAAAACTATTATGCTTTGGCTATAGTGTGCAGGCACTTAAGAGCAAATAGCATAGTTTGTACGTGTTTATCTTCAGGACCTTTATTTTTAAGCATTTTTCGGCATCTTGGCAACCAGTTAAAAGGCAAGTCTTGAAGCCAAGAGTCAAGGGCTTCTTTCTTACAAATTGCTTTAAACTGAATGGAGATTGCTGCACTTTTGACATCATCACCATACTCAAGAACATCATCCTGATTAAATATATTTATTAAACTTGTCAGGATCTGTTCAAGATGCTCAATTTTTTTCTGCAAATTTGTTATAATATGAGGAAGGTCAGGCAAATCCAATGCCTCTCCGGAGGATGGCGCTTCTGAGTTAGTGCTTTCTTTAACACCTATCACCTTAACAGGTACCATGGTTACATTAGTGTTCTCTGATGGTGCCTGTGGCAAGTCTGCCTCATCATTCATTGCAGGTAGGTCCTGTGCATCTGACTCATCTCCAGTTTCCAGGGGGGTTACCTGTGTGGTGTCCGTCTGACTGTTGTAGTTGTGTGTATTGGAAAAAATGACAAGCTCATCCCCATATTCAGGTGTAGGCATAGGTATCAGTAGTGGTAGATCAGTAGTTCCACATGTGCTAGCAGAGATGGCTAGCTCCTCCACAACTAGTGTGTGATGGCATTCTGGTATCACCAGAATCCTTTACAGTGAGGTTGGGTTCTTCCGCACTATGCAGAGGTTCAGTCTCAGTTCTGGCTATGGTAGACTGGATGGCCTCATCCTCAGTTACCATTAAAGGATTGTTATCAGGCTTACGTCGAAGGTTGTTTGGGTTCCGACTGCAGTCCTTGTAGGAAACTGTAATCCCAACTTCTTTACAGTTAATACACTTAAATTTTTGGCTGTCAAGGCGTACTGTGCATTCTCTAGTGGAATGTTTCCCACTTACGACACCAAGAATGTAGTATTTCACAGTCAACTGCAACATGGCCATAATGCTGGCATTTGTAAAACCTGCGTCGAGGGGGTAGGTACACCTCGATGTTTAGGAAACGTAGGCCAGGCACCCAGATATTTCGAGGGAGGAGCACAGGGCCTACCCAACTGGCAATAATTTTGGATTTTCCTTTAAGTCTCTTAGGCTTGATGATATGCTCACTTAGAGTCAGATGGGATGGGTCCATGTAGAGAGGGTATCCAAAGATTATGATACTGACCCATTTTTTATAGTGGTGATTGTCTGATGGAGGTCGAAGCAGCTTAATACCCCCATAAGGTGTACTAAGTAGATCATTGATCAGTTCTTCATTCTGTTCCACAAACACAAAGTTGTGTGTGTTTTTCCGATGTCCGGAAACACTGCTGCGAATCCAACGCCGTCTGAAGACTTAGAGCCATCTGTGTACACAGCGATGGCATGAGAATGAGAGTGGAAGTGATCAAGAAAAAGAGAGCGGGAAGCCACCATAGGCAGTTGGGCTTTTGAGCAAGGGAGTGAGAAAGAACAGACCCGAACAGCTGGAACTTCCCAGGGGGGTAGGGAAAAGTGAGATGCTACATAAACATATAAAGGTGGTAGCTGAAAGGAAGACAAGAGCGAATGTAGGCGAAGAGAAAAGGGACGAAGCAAACAGGGGTGGCGAACAAATAAAGAATGTCTACTAATATCAGTGACCATTCTATAAATGGAAGGATTGCAGAGATCGTGAGAGCGTACATAGTAGCGAAGGCAATGGGCATCACGGCGATCAGACAAGGATGGAACATTCGCTTCTGCATAGAGGCTCTCAACAGGGAAAGAGCGAAAAGCACCAAGGCATAAACGTAATCCTTGGTGATGGATGGGGTTAAGGCTAGAGAGAGTAGCAGGAGAGGCCGCTGAATAAATCTGGTCACCATAATCGAGTTTCGATAAAAGGAGGGCTGAATGTAGGTGAAGCAGAGTTCGACGATCAGCTCCCCATGAAAGATGAGCAAGGGTTTTAAGAAGGTTCAGCCGGCTATGACACGTTCGGGGATACAGGAGCCATAGAGATACAAAGGATGATTAGAGATGACAGAGCGTCTAGTGAAAGTAATTTGGTGAGTTTTGGTACTGGAAAATTTAAACCCATGCGTGGTGGCCTAAGTGGAAACATGGTCGACCGCATGTTGGAGAGAAACTGTAATGAGATGACAGTCAGCGCCTGGACAGCTCCAGAACCTCATAAGTTTGTTTATGTTTATAACTATGGCCAGTGTTATTTTCATGTATAGACAGTGAGGTTTTCCGAGTATGATACACCTTGATCTCCAGTTAAATTGGTGAGTGATTTTAAGATATTCTCCTTCTATTATGTATATGTGTATATACATGTATATAATCCTTTATTAATTTAATATACAGTCCACAAATTTATATATTTACCAGAATTCCTGGTGATGTATATTTTATTTGTAATTAATAGGTCTAGAGCAACTTGTGGATAAGACAGTTGTAGGTATCGAAGGGGGACATTTTTGCGACCTAGGTGTCCCAAATTCCTACTTGTCTATGTAACTGATAAATAATAATTATCATTGTTATCATTTACTGTTATGTACATAATGAGTTACATTCAGATAAATGCAATTTTCCACATTTAATTTACCCGTTGGTCTTTCTTGAACCGGAAGTAATTAGTGAAGTCATTAATTAGTTAATTATTAATAATTATATGTGAAATGACAGAAGGAGGTGGATGTTAAGTTCACAAATTTACTTAATATGTAGCGGATTATAATTACAATATTAATTTGGATAAGCCAAGTGTGGCTGAAGATTATATTGTGTATAATATTAAGTTTGCTATGCCAAATTCTGGCAAGGATTTATATTAATTTGTATAATATTAATTTGATAAGACAATTCTGGCCAAGATTTATATCAGTGTATGTGTAACTGGTAAGCCAAGTGTAGCTAATTATACTACTATATACTACTCAGACCAACTACAATGTATCACTAATACTTGCACAAGGGATGAACATGGGGAATATATAATAGCTAAATTCAAATCCAAGTACCTACAAAAACCTCTCACATTGATAAACATCTACAGAGTTCCACAGTCAAACATTAGCCAATTTAGTCAAAATCTAGGAAGTATGATAACTGATGCACGCATGAACAAAGATCACTTACTACTCTCAGGTGACTTCAATATAAATCTCCTGCAAGACCAGGACCCACACGTTACTGAATTCACAAACACAATGAGTAACTGTATGTTACTACCAACAGTAACAAAACCTACAAGAGTTACAGAGACTAGTGTTTCCCTACTTGACCACATCTGGACCAACACCATATCCCCTTTAAAATCAGGCATAATTACAGATAATACCACAGACCACTACCCTACTTTCCTCATAACAACTCTTGGTAAACTACCCCAAGACACTACTAAAGTCACCTTCAGACTTCACAATGAGGCAGCCATTAAT